GCGGGGTTCCCCCCCGCCTCCCCCCCCCCTCCCGCCTCCGAGCATGGAGATGAAATAAGAAAGGATCTCTTGTCATTTTTTTTTTTTTTGTAGGATGCACTGAATGTGTCTCAACTCCGCCTCCTGGGCTGCAAACAGAGACGAATTCACAGGCTGCAAATCCTGTTCATTGACCAGCTTTATTTATTTTTTAAAAATAACTCTCCCTCGTTGGGCTTCCAAGCTCCACGGGTGCCAGTGATGAGCCTATTTTTTTTTTTTTTAATCTTTTTTTTCTATAGCCATCCCCTCAGGTAGCTGGGAAGCCCTTAAAGTTGGGAAAGAAAGGGACCTCTTTTAAACATTGTATTTGTCCCCTTTTTCATAGCCAGCTGCAACTGTGTAATTAAATTGTCAAAGTGAAACGTTGCGGTCTGAGCCGCGCGTCGGTCTCGCACTTGAGCGCGGAGACCCCTTTTCTCTCCTTCTCCCTCTCGCCTCCTCCTCTGCTGTACCGCTTCGCTCCGCGGTTCATGGCAGCGCAGAGGTGTCGCTGGAAGGTGCCTTGTCCGAGGGCTGTTTTTGATGGAAGTGTATTTACCATGAGGAGGGCTGTCCTGCCCGATGGGAACGGGTGCCAATCCAGCTGTGCTCTGGCGGCCGCTCCAGATGTTGGGATGGCTGCGATCGCACAAAAACGCTATTCTGGGACTTCTTTATCATTAGGTCGCTGCTCCAGGCTTGACCAGTCTGGTTGTTTTTTTTTGGTTTTGTTTTTTTTTTTTTTTTGCGCCTGTTTGCCTCGTCTCTTCCATGTCTGTTTGTTTTACCTCTCTAATTCCCCAAAGTTGGTAACGATGTATTGCGAGACTTCAGCTGAACTTGTTGTTGTTAAATACGCAGATAAACTGACTAAAACAGCATAGTCTGGCTACGAGATAAAGCTGCTGAGATTTAATTTGAATATGTCATTTATTAAAAAGCTGATTGTAAGTGGAAGACTGCCTGGAAAATGTCACACGTTCGCATAGTATGTGCACTATATAGGCGAGTGTATAAATATGCATGATGCCGAGTGAAAATATCTATGCTTTCTGGAACATTGATCTCCCCACATAAAATTAAACCGGAATGCACAGTCCCCTCCCCTCTTCCCTCTTTTGCACACCACTAATTTCAGTTAGGTGCCCTTTCCTGCCTAAGGCAGGCGTTCTTGCTCCTGCTGCCTGAGTAATGTACGTGTACGCGGTTCTGTGTGCACATCAGCTGGAAATGTGGACAAGAGTAGTATTGGGGGAATGACCAAAATAGCGTGTTGATGCATCTCTTTGGAAACAAACTGTAGTAGTTTCAAGTCCAGAGGAGTGGTATTATTCTTTGTGAGATATGTGACACATCCTATTTTCGGAGAGGGCTCTGTGCAGGCACCGGAGAGTCATTGCTCATTGTAATCCCACATAGTTTTGAGGACTGCAGAGGTCTGTAGTACAGGACATTGGCCCCTCAGAGCATCGCCTAATGTGATCTATATGGATTGCAGCTTTTAAGTTTCATAGGTTCTAGAATTACAAATTAGCTAATTTTAATCAAAACATGTGAAATGTTATCCTGGCTGGATATAAAGGCTGACTGTGCTGGATCCTCTGGGTTTGTTTTGTTTACTTTGGCTGCAGGCACACTCAGCGGTTTGGGAGATAGTTGTTCTTCTACAGTATAGCAGATGTTTGTCTGAAAGGGTGAGGAAGAAACAAAAACAACATTGTGTGAAGGAGAAAAATTACATAATTTTAAACTAATGCTTTGGTATTAAGCACTGGCATCAACCTTCGTGTAGAGAGTTTCTCTTTTTTCAATCATGCGTGCCTCCTTAAGGTTGGGAACCTCAAGATTTCAGCTGACTTAAAAACTAAAGGCAGGTAGAAATGGCGTTTTGAACCCATGTAATTTCTCACTGAGTGTGAGACAGCTGATGGCAGAACCTTTCATAGCCCACCTTTCAATATAAACCATGCTATGTATGCTATGCATTTTTAGTAGGACAGTTGGCTGCTATCACCTAAGAAGGGGAAAGGGTGGGGGAGAAAAAAAAAAAGTGGTTTGACTTTTTGACTGGTTGAGAAAGTTTAAATCCTGTGGTGATCATTTATCCTTTTTCTTTACCGATGAATTAAGATGTCTAGTTGTTCTTCATAAACCCAAGGAATACAATAATGTAACAAATTGGTTACAGTGTGCAAGATGTTTGCAGTGAAATGACAGAGGGAGCACAATGTGCCCTTGTGTAGGTTCGTATCTGTAATGTTCAAACAGGCGACTGTTTCCCTTCATCTGAACTGCTTTCATCTGGACCAGTGTAAAATAAGCTCTGGTAAGTAATCACGGCAGAGCAGAAAGAAAGGAATGTATACAGCAGTAGACAGCCTAAGCTGTAAAAACTGTAACCCGAGTATCAGCAGCAGATCAGATATCAAGGCTTTAAGGTAGGGGAAATGAAAGAGATGAAGGGGAGGAAAAGACGAGAGAGGGAATGGAAAAGTCAGCTTGGAAAGTGAAGGAGAAGTAGGAGGGCCCCCTCAGGGAAATTTGGCTCAGGGATTAGGGAATTTTATCATGGTGTACAGTGACCTACTCAGGTTTCAGCCCACATTGGATCGAATTGCCTCCCTTTGCTAGCAGAAAGAAAAAAGACTGGTGTATATGTGATTTCCACACCCCCCTCCCCTTCGGATAATAAAAAGGCCGTTGGTACAAATGTCTATTTTAAGTACAGCAAATGCAAGGCACTATGAATGAGCAATAAAATTACCTCATCACAGAGACTTCCTTCGAGATTTGCTGTTTGATACAGTCAGATATTTACTCCATAAGGATCACAACACCCAAATGCTTGGTTTGGTGTTTTCCAACAGTAGTGTCACAGCTCAGTTTTAACATGACTGTATGGATATTCAGGTTGCTCACTCTTTCCTTATGCCAGATATTGAGTTACATTTTTGTTATCGCTAACCTAATGTACATGATGGTTATAACAAATTTTAATTTGATACAATGTTGTGTGCAAAAAGTACATGACTCTGCACAGTTTTCTGATATTACGTTTCAATGAAAAATACATTCAGGAGGAACTGTTTTGTTTCGCTGTGACCTTTACAGCCACTCTTTCTTTTTCTCCAGTTATTTTTTCTTTTGTCCCCCTTCTTTGTTCAGATGACACTTTCCATTTTTTTTTTCTCCCAGAGGTAGCATTCACTTCGCGCTTTGGAGGAAGAGCAGATAGTTATTCTGAAATTCAGTTCAGTGCCATTTCTCACTTGCTGATGAATAACAACACACCTAATAGATCCAAAGCTGTCATAATCAGGGAACCCAGTACTATTTTAAGACCAAAATATTTTCTACAGTTTAATTGATGAAAGCACTTGTTGAGGCACAATGATGGCTCCCCCAACCATCCCTCCTCAGCTTATTTCCATTTGCCATCCTACTGCCAGGAAGCTTGGGAGGAACAGCAAGGTGCTCTGAAATGTTGTGAAGTGAGGTTACATCCAGTCCTGGATTGCACTGGAAGTTCTCCCGCACAGATGAGACAATGTATCCATGTGTCTCTAACAGTTGAAAGGCAAGCAATTAATCTGCACTGTAATTTCACAGGGCTGCTTCATGTGCCCAAGGAGTTTACCATCTATGAATATTCTCAATAACTAATTTGTATCTTAAACTGGGCTTCGTTCCTGATGCCTAAAGCTTAGGACAGCCCCATCTGTTATCATTTAATAGTAAACTCATCAGAATGTCTTTCAGTTTAGTGTTTTAATATTCCCTGTTTGGCATTTGAAAGTACTACTGTCAGAAGGAGGAAAGCGGTGAAGCAGGCGTAGCAGCCTTGCGCCTGGAGCGAGCCAGTTCGCTCAGAGCGCTCAGTAGGTTCCAAGGAAACTCCTCCCTTCTCTCCTGAAAAGCAAAAAATGTCTTTGGGAAAGTGAAAAAGCAGGCAGGCTTTATCAATTGCGTTATTTCAGGTGGAGGGTGTTTCTGTGGAGTCTGTGTGGAAGGGGTTTTGAGGGATGGCAGCAAAGGGGGTTGCATTGTCTGCACTGGGAGCCTCACCTGCCAGTGTGCTGTAGAAATAGCACTTCTCTGAACAAAGTGGATGAAACAGAACCAAACATGTATATGGGAGAACAAAGAAAAGTAAAGCATCAAGGAATTTTGGTTTCTGATAGAGTAAAAGTCTAACCATTGAATTCAATGTGGTGACAGCATAAATAAGCAAAGAATGTGAGGGCTGGGAAAAAAAAAAGTTTGTGTTGTGACTACAGAAACATTTTTATTTCTTGATGCAGTGAAAGTGAAAAGTGAATTTGTGGGTCTCTGCACTGAGTGGGTTATGCAGGCAAGGAAATGGAATGGAGCCACTGTGCTTCCTCCCAGATCTGAAATAAACATTCAGCAGTAAAACCTAGAAGAAAATGAGTCTGACAGACTCATTCTCCCCTGTGTTTCCTGCCTCCGTGTTTGCCAGGCCTCGTTCGGTGAAGCCAGGCCTTGCCCCCTGTGAATAAGGTTCATAGAGAAGGAAAGACAAGAGATCTAAGATGGAAAGAGAAGCACGGCTTAGCTTCAGAATGTATTAATTAGCAAAGATTTGGGAAAATGATGCATCGTAATGTAAAAAATCAAACTGTAGGTGTACTGTTACGATGAAATGAATCCTGAAGTGGGAAGAAATGTGATTATATTTTTACTGACTAGCATATAAGTCAGTCTCACATAGGAAAGAAACCACAGTCTGGCAAGTCAACACACTCTTCTTCATCTTTCATGTGAATAGGAAGCAAATTCAAGTAGAAATACCAGCAAGAGTAATAGTTATCCTGGCTCTTCCAAGAGGGACCATATTTCTGTGTAGTACAAGAACTGAGAAATCACACAGTTAAAACATGCAAATCACACATTGTCCTGCAGGGGTGATAGGTGGTTTGGGATTTAGCAGGGGGCAAAACCCAAACTGCTGTCCACTGGGAAGGAAGGGCTTTGGCAATGGTGTGTGATGGGCCACCAGAGCATTTTTGGCCCAGTTTCTTTGGCAGGGATGAGCTGGTTGGGATGTGCTGCAGCCATAGTGAATGCTCTGGCGGTTTGTCAGCTGTGATGGTGCGCTGTCAGCTAGAAGAGAGCAGGAGGCTTGGCTCTGGCAGGATGATAACCAACTGCCTGGGTGCGCTGGCAGCTGAAGAGGTGGTCTTCTGTGGTCTCAGAAGCTTGTCTGCTTGGTGGGTGCAGAAAAGAACTGAGCTTGGCATGGCAGAGTGAGTGCAGGAGGATGCAGGACAGGATTTCTGTGGTTGTCTTCTCAGCTCTGACACTGACCCACACTGTGAGTGGCACCAGAGTTTGACCTCTTGGTTTCCCCACAGGGGACTGACCATCGTCTCCCTGTCAGGATGAACTTAGGTCCCAGTGTGGTATATTTGCAATGAACTCTGTAAGGCCTGCAGGGCCACTCCAGCTGGGAGGCTCCCTTTGGGCTCAGTGGAATTTGCTCTGGACTTAGGGGTCCCAGCTTAGCCGTGTGATTGCTGACTTGGGATTTTACTGATGATGGGCAAGGTTTTCCCTGGCGTCCTGGTCTTCGACATCATCCCAGCCCTCTGGCATGACTGTAGTGTTGGGGTGGCAGCCTCCACCCTACAGACATTCCACATCATTTTGGGGAATGAGTCTGAAAGTAAGCATGGACCAGCTCAGTGCCTCTGCTGTCCTGTTCCTGCAGAAGACTTTGAATTGCAGCTCCTTGCACATCCTCCATCTGGTCACCCACGCTTGCCTTCACATCTCCTCCCTGGTCTTCGGCAGGTCCGTTATTTCTCAGTTCCACTGGCTCCTGTATAGCTTGCTTCATCACTGCTGCTTCTACTTTTCTGCTCCAACCTCACGTCCCACATTATTGCTTTTCTCAAGCCTCGCTGTTACAATCATCACTCTTCCTTTCACTGAGCTTTTGAAGCTTGTACATCTTTCAGTGAGGTTTGCTCTGTGTGTACAGGTTATGTATTAATTTGCTTTCTTCCTGTCCTTAACCTCATCAAGAACTTGACTTTTTTGTGTCTTTTTTTTTTTTTTCTTTTACTGTTCCCCCCTCTGTATTCACATAGAGAAAAATTATCTCTTCTCATCATTTTTGTTTTACTTATGGCCACCACACTGGTCTTTACAAATCTCATCTTGTTACCTTGTCTTAAATCCACGTAGATTGTGTCTATCATTGAAATCGAAGAAGGGAATATACATGGAAACCATGAATTCATAGTGGTCAGCTTCGGGACAGCGGCTTCAGCAAGGACATGACCTGTGTGACCATGTTCTCAATTGTCAGGATGTCAGACATCACTGCAAATGGGTATTGTAGTCAGGAGTCTGAGGGAAGGTGATGCTGTTCTTTGGATGCCCATCTATGCAAGAGAGTTAAAAACACATCTCTCAGTTTTGACTGACAGTTTGCTGTGGATGGGATCATCCTTTTGGTTTGCTGTGTATGAAGTCTGGTGTAATGAAGCTCTGGCTGTTAGTCACTGAGAGAATGGTATTAAGCCTGATCTGCATCGCTGTAATAGGTAGGATGAATTATAAGGGAGAATGGCTTTTTTTTTTCTTTTAGCCAAGCCACTCTTGTTGAGAAAGCATGGTGTTAAAATGGTGCCTACTTTTGTTACTGCTAATGCGCAACATCATTGTACTCTCACTGAAGTTTGCAGGAAAGACCCCAGTGATTTACTTTTTTATAAGAGAGTCAAGTCTCTATGATGGGTAGTTTCAAAGTCCAATGTGTTTCTTGTCATTGTGAGTGTTCATTTTCTTGCATCACTTATCATAGACAATTTAAATGAAACTTGAAAGGTACTTAAACTTTGTGCTGTTACAAACTCAACCATCACTTTGGCTACTTTCTGAAGAGACATACACATGTATTAATTTTCAAGAAAAAATAAACATATGTACAACCTTGCTTACATATTCCTTGACAAGTAATTAAAAATTACTCGTTGCCTGAGTTGATCAGCAGTGCAGATAAAACACAAAGCACCCTCAGGAGCCAAATTTAGAGCTACCCAATTAATTTGGTTGTATGGGATTTAAGTCCATAAGACTTTGTCAATTGGTCTCTACCTTGCTAGATTAGTCTCTAGGGCTGTGTCTCCATAGCTGAAATTCAGCAAAGCAAGGGAAGCTGGCAGGTCTTTCCTTCAGGCCTCCATGGACCCTTTCAGGATGTTCTGGGTGAGCTGCAGTGGTGAGATTTCACTCCGCAGCTCCAGGTCATTTTGTTATTGGGTCCCCATGGGTTGGAAACAGTGTTAGTGCATTGGGACTCTTCAGCACTAGGAGAGTTTTCTAAAAAGCTAAGAAAAACAAACAAAAAAAACCTTTAGAAAAATTTCCCATTTTCGCTAGTACTTAAAACACAAAACTGCATCATTCAAGTGAGAGTTTAAATATATATTTTAGAAATAGGTAGGTGTTAGCCGCATTACGCTGCATTGTACTCATTAAAAACTGTAGTAGTGACATAGTTTAGACCTCGTGGGCTGTTATACTTATAATGCTGACTCTAGAAGTAGAAGTGAAATGATGCAATGTTTTCCAGCAATTCGGGGCTGCACAGGAGAGCCATAGAATTGTGACTTGCATCAGACGACCAAGTGAAAATGAAAAGGGGAAAAACCAAAAGGAAACTGATGCTTCAGAGGTCTGCTGTGGGGTTTTGCTTTGGGTTTTCTTTTCCTAAAATATGTTTGTGCACAATTACACAGATGATACTCTTGGAAGAGTACAAATTGCTTGTGTTTATTGCTTATAGGTGCTTTACAGCGCTCACTGAGTGACAGGAACACCTATGTAATCTGGTGTGATGAATGAGCCAGGAGCAGTGCAGTGCTCTGAGGTTCTGTAGCACAGCGCCTGCTGTAGCTTCAAGTTCAAAAGCAATTATAATTTGATTAATTTTTATTTATTTGTTTAAATGACTGGAGAACTGCTGTGTTCTATCATTACACTTGCTCCCACTCAAAAATTAAGCTAGAGCAGTTACTAGACAAAATCTAGCAACCTGTGAATTTGACATATACCATTTATTTTGAATCGGCGTCATATTCTCCTTATTCCTTTGCTGATAGCCAGAGTCCTGGGAGGCACTGCTTAGCAGAAGCATTATTTTAGATCTCAAGATCTTGCAGGAATGTGAAGTTTGGAATTTGTTTTAAAAGAGTGCTGATAAAAAAAAAAAAAAAGCAACAAACCAAAAACCAAAAAACAACAGAACCCAAATATAAAGGCTTTTTGTGTGGCTTTTTCATTTCAATTTATAGTTGTCATACTACTTTAAACTGACCTTTGCCGTCACAATAATTCATTAGCTGGTTTCCTTTGGTAATTTTCTAAATCCGTAAGCTGTAGAGCTCCATGGCACTATTTGGTCTCAGAAAGCTTTGTTGCCTGGCTGCAGATTTCTTAACTTACTCCACTAAATCTCCTGGCCCAGTAATGAGTGTTTTCTACAGAAATATTTTTGCCTTATGACCTAGAGGACATATTTTAATAGAAATTGAGGGTTATAACAGTCATGCACCATACTTTGCATTTCCATAAAGACATAAAATGTAACCGCACAGCCACTTGGAAATCAGTTTAAAAATAAATATGGCAAAACTGAGAAAGGTTTTCTTAAACAAATATAAGAGATGTTTGTATGAAACATTATGGTAAAATGCTTTCACAGTGAAGAGTTTTTAAGTGGTTTGACTATGTGAGGGCTTATAACTGAGGAGAAACTTCTTTGCTGTGATTTTATTTGGTTTGGTTCATGGGCACCTTAAGGAACTGTAATTGTGTCAGTGACCTGCTCCAGCTGAAAAGGCTGTAGCGCAGTAAGATTGATTAACTGCTGGTTGAAAAAAAATTCAGGTTTTCTGTTATTCTCTTGCTGCATTCCTAAATATTTTATGGGAACAGAGACAAGTTGTGTGATGAATGTACGTTAAAATATTTGACATTGAATGTCAGAGCAAAAGTCATAAATAACTCCCCTTTTAATTTTCTTTAAATTACAGACGTATGAGTCTCTGTCATAATTACATGTGCCAGTTGGAGATTTAAATGCATTTCACTTTATGCACTTGACTTATGAAATGAACATTAGTCTTTGAGGAGGTGGGCCAAACCTGACATTCCTCATGTAGCACAGATACAGTTCAATTTATGCAGTCCTCCCTTCCTTCCAAATGGTTATTGATTACATAAATAAGTAGGTAATTTTTCTCTTTCAGAACTTTGCAGAAAACACTATGAATGAGCTCCTTGGCTGGTATGGTTATGATAAGGTTGAGTTGAAAGATGGAGAAGATATTGAATTCAGGAACTACTCGGCAGATGGGGAAAGCCGCCAGCACATTTCTGTTCTCAAAGGTAATGAGACTTCATGTTTCTGTGTTCATGCGAAGAAGGATTAATAGCTCAACCTGTCTAAATTGGTGTGGATTGGGAAGCGTGTTCTGCTACTTGTGTCTTGGTTGCTTTGCATAAAAATATCTGAGAGTATCTTGTGCTATAGGGAAGCCAATAAGGTATGAGGAAAATCACTTCACAGAATTGCTGTTGGTTGGCTCTTACTGATGTATCTTCGCAAATAATACCTTCTGTGAGTCAGTTGAAAGTCATTTACCTGTGGTACCAATAAACTTCTCGCAGCTGGAGGAAAGAGGGAGCCCTTTCTTAGCAGAGTGGCTTAAGGAACCCTTTAGCTTTCCATACTAATGCTGCTTTTAAACTTTTTAAAGTGTTGAAAGATTTTAAACTGGAATATTCCCAACACATGTAGGAATGGGTGTGAGCATTCACAAAAGGCTTCTTATCCACCTTTGAACCACACTGTCTTCTGAAAGTGTAGTAGAAATTTTCCGGGGATGTAATTTGTTTGGGACACTGCTGAATCTTTGTGATTCAAAATGTAAAGGATGAGATCCCGTCTGTTTGTTCCATCATTCAGTTTTTGCCTTCTGACTCCTCAGTCCCATGGGATGGGTAGGGACTTGTCATCAGAGTGAAGAGAAGAGTAGAAAATTACTGCATCTTAACTTACCGAACAGGAGTTCCACAAAGGTGAGGTAAAGAGAGGAAATTGCAGCAGCTCTTATGCTCTTGGAGTGCCACTTTTCACTGTGTTCATGGACAGCAGTGTTTGGGTTTTCTTTCTGAAAGCCAGGAGCAGCATTGTATTCAGTGAATGTTGCAGTGAGTACTGATACCAGAGAGACCAGTGCTGAAGGAGACATGGCTAGAAAAAGGTGAAAAAATTAGAGGTAGGGGGAAACAACCTAACTGTGTTAAAATTGAATGTTTGCAGCTCGTTAGTTCTATAACAACACTGGTGGTCAATGATTGTTTTTCATTTAAAATGCAGTGGTGTTAAGCTGCCTTTGAAGAAACTTGTGTGCCTGTGCAGCAACGTGCTTCATTTATTTATGTTTTAATAAAAAGATCTTTTATTGAGTGACCTGTGGCTCCAGTCTATGCTTGATGAAATTTGTGACATACTTTTTTTATAGGCACATGATACAAATCCTATGTTTTATGTACCATAGATGTCGAATGTCTGTGCAGGTAGAAATTTTTGGTGTGAGCAATCTATGGGAGGGGAAAAAAGTACATTTCTCTCTTTGAGAGATGGAGGGAGAGGGAGTAATGAGAATTAAGTCCTGCCCCATAGCTGAAGTGTATTAGAGAAATTCCTACAAATAAGAATCTTGAGGTGATTTGGATTAAAGAATTAGATTAATAACTGTCATCATTTCATGCACACTTTGCTGTGATTTCAATATTCTATTCATTTCTTTAAATCCTTTTCATTATTACTACTCATATGTATAGAGAATTAAGGATTCTTTTATTCTTTAGTTTCTGCGTCTTGCATTGGTGAAGTCACAGTACACTGGCTGTGATCACCATGCAAAAAGTACAGATAAAGTACAGGAATAGGATGCCATTGACTAAAGAAGGCATACTAAGGATATGTATGACAAAATAATCTTACCTTTCGCAAAAAGAAAGCGTGAATTTGATAAAAAAAAAAAAAAAACCAAACAACAAACCTGGAGCATTTCTGAAGAATACTGGAAAGTATAAATTTCTATAAAAGGGAAACTGTCTGGGTTTTTTTGTTCACTCTTCTTGTGTTAGGGTAAGTAATTTAATGAAGAGATTGGTGAAAGTATGTAAGGCCATTTAAGAAATATATGTGTCATACTGTACAATGTGTTCTTTGTGTTTTACAGAAAATTCTTTGCCAAAACCAAAATTACCTGAGGACAGTGTTATTTCACCGTACAATATAAACCCAAGCTACCCAGGGCTTGCAACAGGAAATGGACTATCGGACTCACCAGCAGGATCGAAGGATCATGGGAATGTACCTATTATTGTCCCATTAATTCCACCACCTTTCATAAAGCCACCAGCAGGTAAATCCTGATGAATATTTTTTAAAAATGGTTACTGTCATTGATGATGTCGTGAGATTGCTAGATCATTATGTCTTAGCAAGAGGGCTGATTTCAAAATGATTGAAACTGGTCACAGGGAGCTTTAAAAAGGAGTGGGAGGGTGGCTTTAGTTGCTTTAGTATTCTCGAAAAACTTCCACAAATGCAGTGACAACAAAATTGCACTGCTTGCGACACTCCTCATGCTGGATTATAGTCTCAGCACTTCAGTAGAGTCTGCTTTTAGGAAAAAAAAAAATTGTTCTGGTGAATAAAACCTTTAAGTAAATTAATGGAAGAATATTAAATTGAAAACAGGCTCCATGAAGGAAACAGTGAAAGAGACAAAGCCGTCAAATAAGTATCATGTCTGTATATCAGGTTAACAAGCTCATGTCGGGAAAACTGTCTCTTGATTTCCATTGAAATCCCTGACCGTTGTCTCTTGAGGATTTAATAAGATCTTCTCTCTTCCCAGGAGACTGTGCTGAGATGTTTTACCTTTTCATTAGATTTTTATCAGGAGTGATTTTATAATATGCCATTCCTCAGAGTTTGCATGAAAAATGATTTATTCCACTCTGCATACTGCTTACTGTAATCCGTGAAAGGAACTCTTGCAGCTACACCAAGGTGATTAATTGTTGTGTTATTGTTTACTGCTCTACATGGTGTGATAATTGGTGAATCTAGATAGCAGTAGGCTCAGTCCTACTTCCATGGACATCCCTGCATGTTGTTCTGGTGACTCTTGAGTGATCAGGGTGACATGCAACACCTACCCTAGAATGGTAGCTCTCCGCACACAGGGAGGCACCTTGGGCAAAGAGTCCTCACCAGGTGCAAGGGTGCCTCTGCTCAGGCAGAACAGTTTGTAGGGTTAGCTCCCAGCTGTTAGATGGTCACCTCTGCCCTTTTTCAAAAGGTAGCTGTAAAGTACTGATCAGTCCAAGAACGTGTTTGCCTGTTGTCAGTCGTGTACAGTTGCCCCTCCTAAATTATTGTTACGACATTGAGTTTTTTCTCTATAGAAGTATACTAATATGCTATGAATAATTTTAAAATGTTACTCAATACTCATTCCCTGCCAAAAACTTTCAATCTATTTTATACGGTATTTGCTAATTACCAAAGCTATTTGGGCCCATTCCTGCAGCCTTTACACAGCTAAAGATCTCGGGCCATATGGGCTGGATCCTCAGCTGTTGTTGATTTGGCCCTAAAGCTTTAATCAAGAGCTTGTGCCATCCCAAGCTATTTTCCCCTCCAATGTGAGTCACGAATGAATCCAGAATGCTGAATTTGTGGTATGTGAACACAAGACTATAGCATGCATTGTGCAAATTGCCACAGTTGCTGGATTTTTATGACATCAAATAAGCAGGAGGAGATGGAACTATGAAGTAGAAAAACAAATTACTGCAACAGTAGTTAAGTGGACACAGGGGAATCTTGGCCAAGTCAACTACCTTCTGTTCTTTGTCCATCCACCTACAGCATATGATCCTGTGTTCAAATGTACCACGAAGGGTAACGTGCAGAGAAGGCTTTTCATAAGTATTTTTCAACTTTACTTTTAAAAATCCATTAATTAATAATGATTGTTGTTTCACGTACATAGGGGGATATAAATGCATAATCTCCGCCTCCTCTGACTTTATCCCATGATCAGTAATGAGCACTAGATTACTGTGACTTCTGAGCAGATGAACATATTTATCTCACCTTTGTTTTAGAGAGCAAAGCTTGGGAGGACTGGAGGGGGAGGAGAACCACAACCTTTGTGGGATTTGCAATAAGCATGGCTAGTAATTGTTTTGTTTTATCTTAGGGCGTAGGTGCCCTAGTCATGATCACCCCAAAGAACCCAGCAAGAAACAACTGGTGAATACAAGTAGAAAAGGGAGTACAAAGGAGAGCCAATGTGCGAGGCAGTGGTCTTGGCACTGCACTTTGACACTGTTCTGTGGGCACTACATCAAAGCAGAAAACTTCAGAGTGGTACAAAGCCAGACAAGAGTAACTCTGGGGATGTTTTCTTGGAGTCCCTCGCAAACGCAGGGGATGACTTTGGAAATAGCACAGAGGTGCTTCTTTGAGTTAAGCATGCAAATGATTAGACTCACATCATTAATTTTCAGCACGAGGGACAGACAGACTGTGACTGACCTACCACAAGAACAGAAGCAGTTTACATTTGTTTGAGCTAATAAATGAAGTGAGGGGACACAGAGGGAGAGGCAGAAAGAGGCCAAGAGAAAGCTTCAAGGTTAAAACACTGGGCAGGAAAAGGGACATTTGCAGTGTATTTTGAGTAGACACACATAGGACAAGGTTATGGGCCAGAGAGAAAACCAGGTAGTAATGCACTGTAGTGACTGATATGCTAAGAATTGGGATGCGTCCAAACTTTGTGAATGGATGAGGAAAGCTTTTAGATATTGTACAGGAGAAAAATCTACAAGACTTAAATATAGCTTGAAACAGAGTGCCCATAGGTAAAAATGATACCTAAATCATGAACCTGAAAGACAGGAAAGATGGTGCAGTCCAACCTTATTGAGCAAATAATATGGAGTGAGCACTCAGGGAGAAATTATTAAGACTTTAATTCTTGCTGTATTGATCTTGAACAGAAGGGTCAGCATGAGTAAAAAGGTGTCAGACAGGCTGAGGTATTCATTTGGACAGGAGTGCAATGGTCTGAAGAGGATAAGCAGATCCAAGAAACAGTCACAATGAATGATTAGCTGAATAATTTTTGCTGATAAGATTCTATTCAGATAAGAGGGAGAAGAGAAAGAGCAGAGCATGGATGATGCTCACAGAAGCCTGAAGGGAGAAACGGGAAGGATACTTGGCAATGTGCACTGATGTAGCAATTGCAGAGGTAGAAGACACTGGGGAAGACAGTCAGGAAGCCAGGGGAAACAGGATTTCCAGGGAAGCAAATATGACTCTTGATATCAGAAACAGCTACCAGCTTGAGCAAGAGGGGTAAGGAGTGCTGATCCTGAACTATGTCCAAGAAGCTGTCATTGAAGATTTTAGTAGATTAGGTTTTCCTTGAGTGTGCTGAAAAACTCTGAACTGTGTCCTGTCTGCATTCATATTTTGTACGACCAGGCTAAAACCTTGAACATTTAACAAAATTACCTCTTTTTCCCTCATGCCTACTTTGCAGTAAAGCGTTTTGAAAACCAAATAATTTTGACCAATCTGACTAAAATTTTATCTCCGACCTCTTCAGATTTCTATTTTAGTCAAATGAAATGTTAGGTACGAATCGGCTTATATGATCCTGGAAAATGTTAGGGGTCTACCTATCCAGAGAGGTAGCTGCAATAAACACACTCTCTCTTTGCTGTATCTCAGAATTACACCCAGAGTTAAATGCATGGGCCCTATGTGGTCCACTGGTTGTCTACAGACTCAGGTTATGGCATGTCAGTGGAGGATGCTAAATCCAGTCATGGGAAGCCTCCACCAGAAGGGTGCAAATTGCTCAGATGTGGAGGCTGTTTTTGCAAGAGCATTGCGCTGATTTGTACCACCAGGCAGATAGATCACACTCAGGCAGTCCCAAAACAAATGTGACTTCGTAAGTCAACATCAGCCATCCAACCTGCATCTGGAAGCAAAAAAGAAGTCAGTGCTGCCTCCAGAGAGTTGGTGTAAGAGTCTCTTTGTGGCCAGTAAGCGTCCATCTTGCCCAGCAGGCTGGTAACTACATTTGGAATTGGCAGCAGATTCTGAATGATCTTCAGGGTTAGTCTCAAGTACAGCTTGTTGCAACAAATTGATCCTAAGTTTATTTCTACTTGGTGTTAGAAAATTCTTATTTTCTACACAGCAATGTAAAGAAGATGAGTAGGGTTTTCTTGTTGGTTGTTTTTTTTTCCTGTTTAAAAATTATATAGAAATAGCACGGAACAGAAGTGCAATAGCCAGGAATGATCTAGGACTAAAAATTCTACCACAGTTGTGCGGGGTATTTGGCTTTAGTATGTAACGTGCAAACCTTTTTTTATTCTGCAGCCCCTAATGATAGAGTAAATCTAAGAGGGCACTTAGGGTGACTGCCCTTTTGCTCAGGCAAGTTCGGACAACTCTTGTTACATGGGATGAAGGAAGGCTAAAATCAAAACTAGTTAAAGAAGAATGCAAAAAATTCTTTAGTGCAGGTGAGAACATGCCGCCTCCTCCCCCTGGCACCTGCTGGAGGCTATGGTGTCTCAGTTTTCCCATTTCTTTGAGTGCTCTTTGATTTAGTTTTTCTTAGGATCCCAATGGCAGTGCCTTGGCAGGGGAGGTTCAAGTGCAGCTTGGTCTGTCCTTTGAGCATGGGTGTTGGCAAAATCCTTCCCTTTCCTGCCTCCTTCTGTGAACAAGCAATGCACAGTGTGTCTGCTCCTCTGAGCATCCCAAACAAGAACCAGCTCCCAGCCGTGCTGTGCTGGGAGGGGAGATCATTGCCAAGGGACATAGCGGAAGGAGAGGCAGAGAGGATGATGTTATGCAGTTGATTGAGGTTGCCACAGGGGAAAGAAGTACGAGGGGAAAATAATGCTCCCTCCCAGGGTTTTCACAAGATACTGAGTACATTTGGAAAAAGAAAAGGTATTTAAAACCAACAACCCACAGATCAGTGTCTCTACATAATGTTAGGTTCAGTGATTTCCAAGCTATAATGGTTGGAATTGTACGAGAAGCTATCAGAAACTCATGAAAGTGAAGGAAAACTGGACTGGAAGAACTGTATCTGGTGAGGCAAAATGTCTTAAAGGAGGGGCAGAAACATTTCCAGTTCTGAGTACCTTGTAAAATAGACCTGTGACCTGAGCTGGCAAAGAAGTGTCAGATTCAAATAGTAAAGTGAGTAATTAGGTGTTTTATAGAAAAGAATGAGTGATTTTCTGTGTTATGTCTTAATATTACTTTAGAATAAAAGTTTATAGGAGATTTTGTAAATACAAGTGC